GAGGGGTCCATACGGATGCCTTCAGCGGAGACAATATGGCCGAGGTATTCAACGCTCGAAGCGGCAAACGTACATTTGCTGAGCTTGGCGTAGAATTTTTGCTCTCGGAGGATCGCGAGGACTTGGCGGAGGTGGTGAAGGTGGGACTCGAAGGTGGGACTGAAGACAAGGATGTCATCAAGGTAGACAACGACACAGACTTCGAGGAGGTTGCAGAAGATGTGGTTCATGGTGGATTGGAAGGTGGCGGGGGCATTGGTGAGTCTGAATGGCATCACGAGGAACTCGTAGTGCCCGAACCGAGAGCGGAAGGCGGTCTTGTGAGTGTCCTCCTCGCGGATACGGATCTGGTGGAARCCACTACGAAGGTYGATCTTGGTAAAGTACTTGGCTCCACGGAGACGATCAAGGAGCTCGRAAATCCGAGGWAGGGGGTACTTGTTCTTGATCGTGATCCGGTTCAAGGCGCGGTAGTCTGTGCACATGCGGGGTTCCGAAGTTCCACCTTTCTTGACGAAAAGGCAGCTGGTTCCGAAGGGGGATGAACTTGGCTTAATGAACCMTTTTTCAAGGAGYTCACCGAGTTGCCGTTTCATTTCTTCGGCTTCGGGGACAGAGAGTTGGTATGGAGGGCGGCAAGGTGGAGAATGTCCGGGTTCCAAATCGATGGTATGCGATACGCCACGATCCGGAGGTAGTCCRGCGGGTAAGGACTCGGGAAAGACGTCCCAGAACTCGTCGAGGATTGAAGTGATGGCGGGGTTGGAGGGCGGGGCTTGATCGGGTTTGTCCGTCGGGACTAAGTCCTTGGGACTTTCGCGATCAAGGACAAGACAGTAGTAGGCGGAGTCGGGGTTTAGGCGAGCCATGTGGAGCAATTGGTGCGGGGTGATAGAGCCTTGGGAGGTCGGATATGGGAGATAGGGGATGTCAATGGTTGTGTCAGGGGGGTTGGTGAGGCGAAGGAAGTTGGGGTGGAATGCGTATGGCATGTAGCGGTCCAGCCACGGGGTTCCTAAGACGATGTCGCACATCAAGTGCATRACATCAAATGAGACCTGACTGCGGAGGGTTCCGACGGTCATGATGGTCTCGGGAACCGTGCGGTCTACTACGACGGCGGTGTCTTTGTCCCCTAGGCGAATCATGATCGGGGAGTCATAGCCGGTAGAGGTAAGACCGGCTTTGCGGACACACGCGTCGGTGATGAAGTTACCGGTGGCTCCAATGTCGAGGAGGGCCCGGAACTTAGTTGTAGACGCACCAAGGGKGGCAGCGATGAATTTGAGGTGGAAACGAGATGAGTTGGCGGTGGAGATGATCGTGTTGAGGCGGCGTTGTTCGTTGCCTAAGCGGACAAGCCGATCGTGTCGGGCTTGTTCCTCAACAACATCGGAGAAGGTGATAGTGGATGCGTTTGGAGGAAGGGTAGAGGAGCATGAGGCAGTGGGAGGTGTTTGCGATGCCTSGGAATCGTCCRRTGGAGGGGGCGTCGCCGGAGAGGGGGAAGGCAAACGAATTGTCGATGTCAGATGGGCCATCGGTGCGACGAAGGATGTCACTGATGGGTAGGCTGACAGATGCAATGTTGATGTCGGGTCAGTGTCCTGGGGACTGTGTTCATGATGAGGAGGGGCCCGCGCTTGCCGAGGGCGGTGATGCGGAGGTTGCGGGTCGCGTGGAGGCGGACTGACGGGTGAATCGTGCGGCGTTGGGGCAATTGGTTTGTTGGTGCCCCAATTGGCGACAACGGAAGCAACCCCCTTTTGCTTGGAGGTAGATGCGCTACTCGGGGGTGAGTTTCTTGAGGCGGGAGGGTGGGGTAGATGAGAGTGGTCGGGAACTGCGATCTTTGCGCTCCATTCTCATGAACTGGACGACATCGAGTTCCTCGGCAGTGAGGGATGAAGAGTCGAGTGAATCGAAAGATGCGTCGGGGTCAGATGTGGTGAACTCGTCTGAGGAAGTGATGGAGGTGGTGTCTTCGGGGGTGATGTGGTGGAAAAAGCGGGTGCGGGAGGTGCCGGGGGGGGCCTGGTGGTGGGGGTGGAGGAGTCGATCGTGGTGGAGCATGCGAGAGAGGAGGTCAGCAAGGGGCATGTCGGGTTCGTGGGCGAGGGCGGTTGCAAGGTCTTTGTGGCATACTCGTTTGATGCAGGAGATGAACGCACAGTCGGGAATGACGGTGTGGGGGAGGTGGTGTCGGAGGGAGCGGACGTATTGGACGAAGCGGTCCGTGGGACCGGTCTGGCGGAGGTGGCAGAATTGTTCAAGGTAGTCGTCAATGGTTTTCTGGGGGCGGAAGGTGGCAGTGAGGAGG